AAAAAGGAACACCTTTATTGCAGGAAAACTAGTAGGCAGGCCCAACCTGGGCCCCACGGGCAAAGAATATGGGTCTGAGAATCTACTCATTCACCAGTAACTTCACTCTGTTCAGTCTCTTTTACACACCATCTCAGGCAGTGTTGCTTTGGACTTACTGGCATATAATGTCCTTTTGCTTCCCAGCATGGGAGCAAAAGAACTGAAAACAGGAGTATGTGGTCCTCCTCCCCCAGGTACTGTTGGATTATTGCTCCAGAAGAGTGAATTAGTATCTCAGGGAATGTTTATCCACACAGGTGTTATTGATTGTAATTACTTAGGAAAAATACAGATTATGATCTCAGTAAACCAATCAACTCAAATTTTGGCAGGACAAAAGATTGCTCAATTGCTCCTACCACTCATTAAGTTACAAGGTACTGGGGAAAAACATACTGGTGAGCCTGGTGACACAAGCCATATTTTCTGGCAAACGTCTGTCGATAAGAGCAGGCCTCAATTGACTCTTACTCTGAAGGATAAAACCTTTAGTGGCCTTTTAGACTAGGGTGACCAGACGTCAACGCTTTTGGCGGGACAGTCCTGCTTTTCAACAATTTGTCCTGAGTCCTGCGGCTTTTTAAAAAAGTCCCGATTTTTGGAAAGAATGCATGAACAGGCGGGAGAACAAGAAGGGAATATACGGTTTTCAGCTGCCATGTGGCTATTTCGCCAGAATATGAGTTTTATATTATTTTTGTTAATTTTATAATATTAAACTGTAATAATAACAAATAATTGCTGAGAAGTGATTATAGAGAACTGCTTATCAAAGTTTGCATTGTTGTCAGGCCCTCCGCCCGCTCCCCGCCCCGCCCCGCCCCTCGGCCATGTTGTCCCACCATACCGATGTTAAAATCTGGTCACCCTATTTTAGACATGGGCACAGATGTTTTGGTTATGGCTCTCAATCAGTGGCCCAGGGAATGGCCGAAACAAATTGTTGATATTACCTTTGTCAGCATCAGAACTCTAGATTCAATCTTTCAGAATATTTTGCCTTTGACCTACTTGGGGCTAGATAAGCAGAATGCTCAAATCTGACCATATATAGCTGACATTACTATTAACTTATGGGGTCGTGATTTGCTCCAGCAATGGAAAGCTGAGCAAATCCCTCATGTTAATTCCTTGCAAATGTCAAATTTAGCATAGAGGCCACTGCCCTGAAATATGCTCTCAGGTTATCCTGGAAGAATAGTAATCCAGTGTGGGTAGAGCAGTGGCTGTTAACTATGGAACAACCGGATGCTTTAAAATTAGTAGTACAGGAACAATTGGAGCAAGGGGCATATCAAGCCCTCTACCAACTCTTGGAATTCTCCTGTTTTGTGATAAGAAAGAAATCAGGCAATTAGAGAATGCTCACTGACCTTCGCAAAGTTAACGAAACTATTATACCCATGGGACCCCTGCAATTAGGACTTCCTTTACCCTCTATGACTCCTTCCAATTGTATTTGTATGTTATTGACTTAAAGGATTGTTTTCTTACCATATACCTGCATCCTGAAGATCGACCTTGTTTTGCCTTTTCTGTTCCTGTCTATAATCAGCAGAAGCTTCCCAACTGTTATCAGTGGAAGGTTCTGCCACAGGTATGTTGCATAATCCTACACTGTGTCAACAGTTTGTCGAGCAACCATTAAAGATTCTTAGAAAGAGATACTCTACAGCCTACATTATTCATTATGACATCTTATTGGCACACTAGAGTTTGATGGTTTTATAGGAAATGTTTGAATAAGCTGCATGTACATTAAAGTCCTATGGTCTTCAAATTGCTTCGGAAAAGGTGCAAACCACAGTTCCTTATAATTATTTAGGATACAAATTAACTCAAACTCAAATTCTTCCACAATGTGTTCAACTCCAATTGGATTCCTTGTCTACTTTAAATGACTTTCAAAAGCTATTAGGTTATATTAATTGGTTATGTCCTATTTTAGGAATACCAACCTATGCTTTGTCTAATCTTTTCAAAATTCTGGAAGGACCTTTGGACTTAAATAGTCCTCATTCACTCACTCCAGAAGCCAAGGAAGAACTGCAGCTAATTGAAAGAGTTTTCATCAAAAGAATTTCTGATTCAGCTAATAATTATAGCCACTAGTCACTCCCCAACTGGAGTTATTTATCAAATAGATTCTAACAGAACTACACAAAAACTACAATACTTAGATAAAATTTGTGAACTGGTTGCTAAGGGTAGAAATAGAATTTGCCAACTTATAGGTTATGATCCTTATTCTATTATTGTTCCTTTCACAGAAAAGCAAATTCAACTCAATTTTCAATTATCAATATCTTGGTATATTGTTCTTGTAGCCTACATAGGCTCAATTACTAATGGATATCCTAATGACAAAAGATTTCAAGCATTTTTTTTCCAGCTTACTTCTCCCTTATGTTGTTAGAGACTCTCCAATTTCAGATGCTATTACACAGACTCTCCAATTTCAGATGCTATTTACACAGATTCCAGCAAGTACAGTAAGGTTGGATATACAGATGGTAATACTTTCAAAGTTCTTCAAAGTACTTATACCTTGGTTCAAAAAAATGAAATATATGCTATTTTTATTTTACGTCAAGACTTTCTTTACTTTCTCTCATTTCTCTTGGACTACTGCTTTACTGGGAGAAAGGACTTACCATGTCATTCAACATTTGTTAGAGTGCTTTAATATTATGGGTCTCCCTAAATCTATTAATACTGATAATGCACCTTCTTATTCTACTCACAAATTAAACACTTTTCTATCTTTTTGGAATATTCAATTATCTCATAGTATTCCTTATAATTCTCAAGGACAAGCCATTATTGAGCAACATCATAAAACATTAAAAAGAATGTTAGAAAAACAGAGAGGGGGAGAGTCCTTCCCTTGAATGATAGTCCTAACTACATCCTCACTAGAGGTCTTTTCACTCTCAATTTTCTGAATCTCAACAACGACAGAAAGACAGCTGCAGAAAATCATTGGACATCTTTCATGCATTCACCATCCTCTTCAATACAACCTATTTTTTATAGAAAACCTGACATGTCAGAGTGGAAGCCTGATTATGTACTGCATTGGGGTCGAGGTTTTGCTGATATTATTACAGAACATCAAGAGAAGCAGTGATTACCAGATGGCTGGATTAAGCCTGGACAGGAGCAGGGGAACCTTCCCAGCACTTCAACAAATTTGTTTTCACTAACTTTTCTATTATTTACAAGACCCTGAGTTTTGGAGCCAGGTAATTTCACAATAGAGAAACCCTGGATCAATCTCCTATGTGGGAACTCTCACTGCTTCTCCCATATCCATCATCAGCAGGAAGCAGTTAAGAGCGGTCAGCACCCTGTTTCCCTAAGAGGAAGTTGGAGCTTCTATGCAGATAGGGAAGATTGGTACAGGATTTCATTATTTGGGGCTGAATAACAAGCCCCAGGTAAGCTTAGTTTGCGTCTTCCTTTGAAGGTTTTGACAACAAAGACCTCCAACAGCAGGCTTTGGGGTAACGGTTATACTGGTATTGGCTAAGGTAAGAGAATTTCACTTGTTGGATTTATATCTGTTTCAGTTGGGCACCTGATTTTACTTAAAGTTATACTGCTCTTTGGAAAGGGTACAGCCCTTTCCCCACCTAACGTAACTTCAGGTGGTGGTTAATACTTCCCATGGAAGCGTCATGGGCCCTCCGGGTCAGCCCGTAGCACATAGTTGGGTGGTGATTAGCACAAAGGGGACATGTTTTCCCCTAAGCCTAGTTTGGCTAAAATAGTTTCCCTTATACCTGGATTAGTTCCATTGGTGTAATTTTGTTATACATATATGCCCTTTTGTTTCTTGGTAGGAAGGAAAGCTCCTTGGTGAGGAAAACAGCTGAAATAACCAATGACAGATTTTCTCCCTTGCCTGTCTAGAAACGTCTTTGAACATACTAGAGGGGGGAAATGTAGAGGACACCAAGAGCCAGAAAACCTCTGAGCAAGATGATTTGCAGCTTGGGGGGGGTGGACCCTTGGGCAATTCATCTGCAGGTGCTCCTTGTGGAGAAAGCCCGAGCCCATGGCAATCCTTAGGCACGTGTCATTGTCTAATACTCCCCTCACCTGTCTTGTACCATCTTAATAAGAGGCTACTGCGGAGGTTGCTTGGGGCTACCCTGCAATCAAAGTTAGCCCACCTCCTGCAAGCTTGTACTTCTAATCCGTGTCATGCCTGGTTCCTTCCTGTGGTGATGGAGACCAGGGCCATAGGTGCTGCAACACTAAATGATTATTTTTATTTTAAGCCCCTAACTTTTGGGGCGATTTTGTTATGCAGCCATGGCAACTAAAAGAGAAGCTAGGATGGAATCAGAACTAGAAGACAAAAAAAGTGCTATCTACCCCCTAGATCAAACAAGGAAATCTTTAGCATTCACAAGAATCTCAGGAACAAAGTCTTACAAGTCTTCAAGAATGATGAAAGTATGTACAATTCACATACAAATTCAAATACATTCTGCTGTTGTGCCCTTTCCAATTTCTTCCCCTAAATTACAAATGTAGGACCATGATAAACCCATACATCTAACAGTTGTGGTCATCTTATAATCCTGTTATTCAGTTGTGAAGTGCTAAGTTTACAAATACATACTGAGCTTTTTGATACATCCTAATTACCTGTAAAATACAAACTATGTCCATATACAAATCTAACATTCCCAACTCAAATTACAGTCATGTGGAACAGAGTCAACTGTTGGTCAGTTCTGAGATCAGGAAAGACAGAAATGGAATAATGAGATCTACACCTCATGAATAACAAGTTAGTCACTTACCATAGAATATCTTCAAGTGATTTCTACTGGTGACTTAATTAGGCAGTGAGAGCATTTGTTGAGAGTTTAATACCAGAACGTCACCAGGTGTGCGTGTGCGCATGTGTGTGAGATAGAGCAAGAGAAGACAAAATGACTCACCAATTCCAGACATTGTCTGTGCCCATAGGCAGCAGCGTAATGTATGCTATTGTAACCTTCTTTGTCCCGGATAGACGGATTTGCATCATTTTGAAGAAGAAATTCTAGACATCTGTAAGTATAAAGAGGAGGTGTTATTTTAGAAACATCTTGGGACCAAAAAGAGATAATTAATGTAAATCCTCCTATTATGAATGTTCCAGGAAGCACTTTGTGAATTTCAGCGTTTCTTTTAAAATCCGACAGCAATGAAGTTTTATGTGATGGAAGCTGTGTGTGTGCTCGGAGGCTATCTTTATTGGAGCTTGAAATAGCCATTCTAGAATTTAGGAAAAGCTTCAGGAACAAGAGGGCAATTAAGGTGTTTGCTTTTTCTCAACTTAAATGATAGAACATATCTGCCATCAAGACTATTGAATAGTAAGCTTTAGAAATCCATGTTCAAAAAACAAAGTCTCAAATGTAATAAACTGTCAGACATTGTGACCCGGCAAACTTATATAGGGAGGAGTTTATTTTTAACCTTATTCTAAAATCAAAAAGTTAGAAAACGACAGTTTAAAAGAGTAAAAAATAAAGAACCCCAGAAAAACCTACATAGTAAAAAGATTAAAAGAAAGGGTAAACATTTTTAAAAATAAAGAATTCATTTTGTAACCTTATATGAAGAAAGAGTTTAAATTGTTCCTGTAGGAATACAGACCAGAAAGAAAATTTTAAAAGTCTTTCAGAGAAAACTATAATTTTTCTGAGAAAGCCACTGTCTTTGGAAAGGTTAAAGGAAGGAACATGGCTCTACCTTTGCTGAAGAGTTCAAAACTCTAGGACACAAACATTCAGGGATTTAAAGAGCTATGTTCAGGGCCTACGGCAAACGGCCCAATCCAATGGCACAAGAAGGAATTACTAGGCAGAGAGAAAAGCTTCCTAATGTCAGTCTTATTTCTATGGCACTGGACCAAACATATCCCTGTGCCAGGCACCACGGTGGGCAGCGTAAGCGTCAAGCTGATTTAGTTTCATGCTGAAATCAAAATTTAAAAATTCAAAGTATAGAGCTATACTTCAGATGCGACCTTTCAATAGAAAATTTCTACAGTTTACTCAAAAACTTTTACATGGTATTTGCCTATCTTTTGGTACATACAGAAGGCAAGAGGAATAAGTAAACCACACATAGAGATGGTTAAAACAGACATATCCATTTCAAGAAGAACTGATAAAAGACATCATTTTTTTAACTAAATAGTTACATGTCACATGATGTACCCATAAAATGCTTCATAATAAATCAAACTATTATTAGAGTCCTGCTATCATGCCGTCTTCGGCCATCTGCACCTTATAAGGAAGAAGTCCTTCTTCATTTTGCTAATTAAATGTTCATGGATCGTGTCCCAGGTGTGACTCACATGAAACTGAATTGGGATTTTTAAATGAAATCATTCAATAGGAATAACCTTCCAGGGGACACACAGTCTCCAACTTCTGAATGGATTATACTCCACAACTCAGTTGAATTTGTAATTTGTAGACACCCATCGAACATAGCTGCACTACACTATCAACACCACCATGATAACAACAGCAGCACTGCAGAATCTGGATAGTCTCCATATTGCTTCTAAGGAAAATAAATTCCATGTTTTAAGTGGGGATGCTTATCTTTTCTCCTCTCAGTATCCTGACTAGAGATTTTGGCACTTAAGAGGCAAAACCAACAGATGCCCATTAGGTCAACAGTGCACTTGGACCAGGGAGTGCTCTCTCTGCAAAAAAAGAGCTCTCAGGACTGGTTCCCTGTTCTCCCCCTGCCTCTCTTTCTCCCTTCTCTCCATCAGCTGGAAGAGGGCTGATCTGGCTCAGGGCAAGCTTGCAGTCCACTGGAGAAAGAATAATTTGCTGAGGCGGCTTAAAATTCTGCAGACTTTTAATACCATTAGTTTAAATTTTGGAGTACTGAAGCAAAATCTTGGTCTTTTTACCTTCCTCATAGCTGTGTTTCCTGTCCCCACTCCAGTTACAGTCATAGTTATGTTCCACAAATTACACTGGGGCCACACTCTCTGCCTACACCCTACCACAAGAGCTGGACATGGGAGGAGCCCCACAGGAGGCGGGAAACCCTAGAGTGGACACAAGATTTGGAGGACAGAGAAGCTGGTTCCTCTGACAATCAGGAAAGAGAATAAACAAGCCAAGAAGTGTGCGCCTGTAGACTGGCAGGACACTAGATGCACCAGGTCCCATGGGAGCAAGGCACAAAGTGTGGACACCAGTTCCTTTGTTTGTTCATTTATTCAAGTTACTGAATGCTGACTGTGTGCCAGGCACCATGGTGGGCAGTGTAAGTGTCTCACTGAGATTCGCAGTGCAGAAAGGACTCTCAGAGCATGTCAACCCCCAAGTAATGGCCCTCCAGCCCCTATCACAGCAACATCTACGTCCCTGTCAGAAGCCAGAGAGAGGTAGGAGGGAAGAGGTGGCCCAGGTGGCTATTTGCAGGGACAAGAGGCCGTTTGTAAATTGACATGTATGTGGGGTGGGAGGCAAGGGGAAAGTAGAACTGGGGTATTTTACACCAAAGACTCAAGACTTTTCTTTACAGAATTGGCTAACTAGTTACCTTAGGTTATAAAAGCAGAACCTAAGGCCCTCAGAGGAGGCAAACTTGTCCCCTGAGGCACATGATACATGGTAGAGTCAGAAATGACATTTAGGAAATCTGGCCCTAAAAACCACCGACCAATCATGGTGGTGGCTGGAGCAAAGCTTACAATCTTATGAAGTTCCCCACGTGAACATAGCAGAACTGAAGGATGTATGAAAAGAATAGATTCTTTGCCTTTAGAGGCAAGCCCATATCATTTCCCCAAGATCCCAAGTGAAATCCCAGAATAGTTAGGCAGCAATGTGGTAACCAGAGACGCAGACGAAGAGTGAGAAATGGCACCTGCTCTTAAGCCCAGAAGAAACTTACAGTGCAGCTTCCTTTTCCTTCAGGTCCCTGGCTCTTTCAAGTTCTTCTGAATTTTCATGGGCATTTCCTAAGATAGTCTTACTTCTCAGCATAAGGGACAGAAAAAAAATTGCAGTTAATTTTTTTAGGCGAAGTTGTTAATGGTTTTCATGCAGTTTATATCTCAACAATTTTCATCCCAACCCCAAAGAAATAGGTATCACTGATTTTCATTGAGGATATCCACAGTACTTCCAAGGCCATCCAGCAAACCTACTCTCTCCCAAGGAATGCATTAGAGAATATTACTTTCCTAAAACTTCTACCTAGGCATCAGTGAGTAAGGCAGCAAACTGCTCACTCTTCCATAAACTCTCCAAGTGAAGAAGTGACTTAGCTAGCTTGAAATTCTGACCCCTACTGCACTCCTCCTTGCCTCCTTACCAGTGTAGCATCTCACTTACCCAGGAATGAGATCCTAGTCACCCTTCATCTGTCAGAACAATTCTTCCTCATCTGGGATTCCTTTTCCAGCTCTTAACAGATGAAGTATATGTGTCCCCCCCATCCTCTCCACCACCCTCACTCTATCCCAAGTGAATAGCATAGGGCCTGGCACAGAGTAGATGCTCACTATATGTTTGCTGAATTAATAACCTGCATGGCTATGGGATCCAGAATGTTACATCTGACCTTATTATTATATAACTACGTATATACAGAAGGTACCAAAAAACTGTATACACATTTTAAGAACTGTAATATTCAAGACATGTTTGACTTCTGCAATTACAAGAGGTGCTTCACATAACTTATATTCATCTTTTTATTGGCATATATTGAGTAGTACAATTTTAATATAGTTTTTTTCATTTCTTAAAATGCATATACTTTTTTCACCCTTTGTATTTTACATATAATAATATAATATGCATTCTATAACTATGAGGAACATTTTTCAAATGTGGAGTCAGAATTGTGAAATCAGTTTCATGGGTTGCAGTCAGCAGGGGTTTTTTCTAATTAAATAGAAGATATCAGAATGCATCACACACAGTAAAGGCAAATATCATTTTATGAAATTTTAATCTCCATCTTATATATATACATAAATACATGTGAATGTGTGATATATATATATCATATATACATGAATATATATGAATATAGACATGAATATATGTGAATGTGTGCACTGGGTCATGACGTATGATGTACTTCTTATTCTGGGTCACCTTCTAACAGCATTGACCTATAGGAGAAGCAGTTAGCACTGACCCAGAATCAACTCCCCAGTACAGGGCAGCAAGTAATTCAACAGTTCTTCAAACAGTATCACCAAAAAGTATTCCGGCCTCAAGCCTTTAAGAATGATTTCATAAACTGTGGGCATCTCCACCACCTTTTTGCTGTCCACTGGTTCACTTATTTATGTTTTCTATTTCTGGCCAACTATAGAATCCAAGCATGTCCAAGGGCAACCAAGTTCCTCTCCTCCAACTCCTGAAAGGGCATTCATGCCTAGGTTTGGAACAATAGTGCCCAGTTTACACGCACTGGTGCTGCATTGGAAGGCTGCTGGGAATATGCATGAGTGGATGTTTATAACATATGACATATATATTAGCAAATGCAAGTTTTACAGCAAATGAAGCATTTAAGTGGTGACAATGAAAACTACAGTGTATGCCAAAATAAATTACAATTAATTTTGAATAAACTGAAAACCTGGGCTTGGAAGCTCCACTTGGCATTCAACCCAAAGAACAGAGCAGAGAAGTTATTATGCAGTGACATGTAATAGTCAAACATAAAGCAAGCAGGATGGGAAAACCCAGGCTAGGAATGAAGCAAGCCTCACTCCTTTAGGTCTGGATGAGAAAGATTTTTCATTTGTAGTTTCTGTGAAGCAGTATGAATAAAACTTAGCAACACCCCAAACTCCCTGCCCTATCCCCAGAGGAAGAATAAGCAAGGTTGCCATTACTTCCTGTCCATGTCTGATGCAGCGGCATAGTGCAGAGCTGTCCGTCCCCAGTCATCTGTTTCATTAACGTTGGCCCCTGTGGTCACTAATGTCTCAATACAGTGGAAATGACAATTTGCAGCTGCATAGTGCAAAGGAGTCCTGAAAAACAAATAGCAATTTATTACTTTATTCAGTGCAAAAAAAGGCCTATCGCTGGTGCTAGTACTGATAGAACTGATAGAAGTATTCAAGGGGTAGGAAAAACTCTTTGGTTCTCAATGTGTGGAGGCCAAGGTCATTGGGTATCCTTTATACTTGGGACCAGAAGTGTTTTGGATGGTTAAGCATCCTGAATCTGAAAATCCAAAATCCAAAATGCTCCAATGAGCATTTCCCTTGAGTGTCACATCAGTGCTTAAAAAGTCTCAAATTTGGAAGCATTTTGAATTTAGGATTTTCAGATGAGGGATGCTTAACCTCTGTAAACTAGAGCTGAGGCTACAAAGACAGTGGCATCAGGAACAAGGCTGTCCATTACAGATCTATCCTCTCTTTCCATTCCCAGAGCCTGTCTAAGCCTGCATTATTGTTTTTTTTAGAAGACTATCCCATTGACCTCCTTGGCTCTAATCAAACTGTCATCTAATTTTTAAGTAATACAAATGGAAAATTGAGTTTTCTAAGGTACAATACCCACATATGATAATCTTGTCCTAAAACCTTTGGTCCCCCCAACTGAACAAAGGCTTGGAATTAAAGACCCTCCTGGGCTGGTCCCAATCTCCTGTGATAGAGTTCCTATCAGTGTACCCAAACTGATTTCCCAATTGTGTCCACCCTGCCCTCTGCCTATGCCTGTGTCGGCTGCTCCTGGGAGGCCCTTTCCCAAACCATTTCCATCCATCAAATCCCACTCATCTTTTTTGTTCCAGGAGTCAGTTCTCTTTCTTTTGTCTGAAATCGCTTAGCTATTGTCTGGGTTTCTCCTTGAACTCTCATAATATACTGCCTTGATTTTAGCTATTGGTGTGTTTTATCTTCCCAGTGAACTATGAGCTCCTTGAGAACAGGGGTGTAAGTTACTGGGAAGGACAATGCACACAGAATTGGAAGCCCGGGGGTCTAATGGGGACCAATCTGCAGGCTGGCCTGGGCCTGGGCTTCTTCATTCTTATTTCATGGGACCTTTGAGCACCTGTGCCCTAAGGTCCTTGCTACAATCCTACAATCCTATGTGCACATATAAACCATTTAGTTTCTCTAGGTGCAGCTTTCTCATTTATTGAAAGGATAATAGGCGCCTTGTAAAGGGAAAGCCTGAAGAAATAAGAATAAAATAATTTGTTTCTTATTATTTATTTTTAGTTCTCAATTATTTAAAAGTTTTCCTGTTGTGACTAAACAATATTCAGGGGATAATAACTAACAGATGAGTAGGAATAAAGTAACCATTCCAAGAATTATTTATCAGTTTTCAAGCTGTACGATTTCATATTTTGTAGTCAATTTATGGGCTCTTCTACTAGTTGATTTTCTCCATTTTAGTCACCAAAAAAGAAATAATGTTTTACATTTCGATTGCTTATATTTTACTTAATAGAGTGAAAATTATCAGATATCAAGCATATAACAAGATCCAAAGATAGAGAGAAAATGGCATTCAGTTCTTGCTCTCATAGTCAGGTGGGGACAGAGATAAGGAAACAAGAGTCTAGGACAACTGTGTGATGTGTGCTGCATGGTGGGGAACACGGGGAGTAAGGGGAGCAGGGAGAGGGGCACTCCCGCCAGAGTGCAAGGACACGTCATGATGTGAGTCTGGAAGGGCAAGTAGGAGCTTCTTACACAAGGTGGTAAGAGAGGAAATTCGTACAAGCTGAAAACCAGGGTGTGTGTGAAAAGGAAAGGTGAATACACACACACACACACACACACACACACACCACATATATATATCTCCAGGTACCAGCTAAAATCAAGCCATAGGTTACCTAACACAAAACGCTATTACGGTTAAGAAAAGTTCTACCATCCACAGTGGTGTGTGTGTATGTGTGTTTAATGTTTTATAAATGTCTAAAACTTTATCCCAAGATGAAATGTCCACTACATGTAATAATATGTTCTAGATCTTATGACCAGATTCCAGGTTTCGGAGGACTAACATGTTCTACAAGAAGATGAGGCTAGAAAAACAATTTTCTGAACTATATCCATGTGAGAAGTTAAAAAAGTAAAGGGAAAAAGAAAAGAGAGAATTGACACTTCTAAACAGAAGCTATGAGTGGAGATGCTTTCTTTGTGGCTTGTATTGGCTAGGTCGGCATTTCCCTCTAAGGGATTCCCTTCTGAGGACGGAATCCCCCCAGCTAGCTTCCCTGTTTCCCATTTCCACCTAACACGATTTCTCAGTGGACTCCCCACTCCTTCTATTTAGGCCCTTGCAGCAGAACTCCCTGATTACATACCTCCCACACTTGTCCTTTTTATGGAAATCTGCTCCGCTGCTCTGCAAGAGTTTTATACATTCCACATTACTAGAAAGACAGGGAAAACACCATTAAGATGGAAAAGCTTGAACACTGGGATATCTAGAGAAAGAGTTGTTTTCTGCATAGTACAAGATGAAATAATTCCAGCTTTAAATTCTACTAACAAAAAAATAGCCTGAACATATTAACACTCCACTGTAAGGATCTAAAGTTCCCAAAGATCCTCTTTCAAAGTTAGTAAGTCCATAAAATAAAGAAGTTGGTGGAATATTTTCATTCCATGACTATGGAATTTAGTGAATGTTATCAACCTTCCAGTGATGGTTTTGTTTATCCTAAAATTCTTTTTCAAAACCATTTAGAGTTTATGAAACAACCACTTAAACCTATAATAGTTACATGTCACCTTTAAACAAGGAGCCAGAGTGGATGAGTGTTACCTTTTATCACAGCAGAATGAATTCACCATGATAAGCACTTTCAACCCAGATACTCCTTAATGGGAAATAAAACAGCTGCATTTCCCTGTTTTTGTAATCTAAGTAAAAAAAAAAAAAAATGTGCCGAACCAAGGCTGAGAATGATTTAATGGAGCACAGTGATCTTGTACAGCTTCTTTGTCATTCGCAGAAGCAATAAATCATACTTAGTAGAGAGACAAGGACCCACTGAAGTACATTTCCCTTTGAAGGGCATGTAGCTAAATATTAATCCTAACAGGACTTTCTGCACAGATCTGATATTTTTAAAAATGTGGGCATAAAGAGCAGTGCCTATGGCTCAAAGGAGTAGGGCACTGGCCCCATATGCCGGAGGTGGTGGGTTCAGACCCAGCCCTAGCCAAAAAAAAACTGCAAAAAAAAAAAGAAAATGTGGGCATAAAAAGAGACAATTATCCATCAGTGTTCTAAACTAAGGACACTAAGACGTAGCTTGGAATTTATTGTTTTATTATAATTTAAATAAGAAAAGTGATCCCAATAGTAAACCTGAACAGGGCTCTCCCCACCTAATGTCCACCCTGTATAGCCCCCGTTCTCAGAGAGCTATTTGAGTCACACAGTGGAAGAATTTTTAAAGACATCTACGTGTTGATGTAGCATGAGCATTGATAACACCTGTCTCTTACTGATTGATGCCAAAGGTTCAAATGAAGTGGCAGATCCAAGTTGCATGGTTCATGAAGCTCAAACAATTTGGGGGCCAGCATGGGGGAAAGGGGAGCTTTTTAAAAATAATACAAAATTATGAACACAAAACTAGTTATAAGACTTTTTAGAAGGGACCCAGGTAAATGAGGAGCCCATGGCTTCACCAGTAATCTGCCCCTGATAAATATAGGTAATGTCTTTGGTAATACACAAATGGAGAAGCACTGCTGTTCTTTAAGGACCGAGAAATTGATTATACTTTACCCAAACAAGGTCATCCAAGAGATGCCATGTTTGGTCAATGTGTGGTCACATATATCAACAATATACTGATCAGAGCTTCAGCGTAATCACCAGTATGAACAAAGAGAGTGGCCCATGAAATTATCTTTATCTTTAAATTATCTTTACAAAACTCAAAAAAAAAAAAGGCAAGGATTAGATAACTTCTTGCCTATCTTTTTGGTTTTCTGGACTTTTGTTCATATTTAATCATTATAAAGACTTAAAAAATCAGTTTTGAAATAAGGATGACTATGTCTATAAATGAATGTTAATGCAATCTTGGATTCTCTTGATCATCATCCACCTATCAGCAACAAAAGAGGAAAATCAGGAACAAATTTCAAATTATTTTCTTTTGGTGGAAAGATCCCTGATAGATACATATTCTATAGCCTGAAAAAATCTATAATAAAAAATAGAAAGGAAAGAGAGAGAGAGAAAAGAAAAACTATTTGCTGTACAAGATGAGCTAACAATTTTTCTTTGGAAGAACAAAATGCAGGTAATGTGAAAATGTAACATAGTGATAGTTGGTAGAAATTATTCTTACCCATCGGACCAAGGAAATTGCGTTTGATTTATAGACAACTTCAATCAATAAAGATGAATTAGTAATTAAGTCGTGACATAACTAGAATTGCTGACGACTTACCCTCCTGCAGCGGCAGCATGAAGGCACGTTCTTCCAAATTTATCTGGGGTGTCTATTTCAAAGCCTGCAGACAGCACGTGCTCATTACTAAACAAGGATACTATGCTATACTTTTGTCCTAGTTAAACCACAAGAAACATTGCAGAGACAGAAAAATCAGTTAGTAGAAAAACCAGAACGCAAGCAATTATAGTCAGAAAGAGGTTGTCATGGAAACGAATGATAACTGCTCAAGCTTGGCAATTTTATAGGAAGAACCATGAAGTCAGGAAGGATTTATTTTTTCACATTCAGCCCCGGGTGAACCACAGCCCCATTTTTCAATCCCGGGATAGAAATTTATGAAACCAATTTGAGATAAGTAGGGCAGTAGGCAGACAGACAGAGCACACAGAGAAGACATGGAAAGCAACGCAGGAATTCTAACATGCTGGAATAGGTATTTTCTTAAGTGTACTGCAACCTTTTGGTTGGTTTAAGATTTAGGGAACATGCATGCATGCGAGGATTATTTTTAAACATGCCAACAGCAGTGAAAGCAGAATCAACCATAGGCAAAGTACTTAAAGAAAAAAAAAATGCCTCTGGGATATCTGATGAATTAATTCAGAAACAATCTTTGCCTTGCAGACCTCTACCTCTTTTGAAAGCCCAGGAGCTTCTTAATATATGTAAGTTGGTAAAAGGAGTGATAAGAGAGATTAGCAAAGCACCAAACCAGAAAGGATTTCTTGGTTCCAAATAGTCTCACATAAAAAAACAAAACAAAAAACTAAACCTAGCTGGACCAGATCAGCTGTAGTGATTTTTCAATGCCCAGGGAATGGATAGGAAATGTGACATTTCTGCCGTCAAGTGTAGGGGTTGGAACTTTTCCTTTTGTTAAAAACGTTAAATTGACATTTTAGGTTTTAAGATGCTTTCTTCTTCTGTGATTGAAACGTCCTATAAGCTCTCGCCATCCCTGCCTCTTTCCTCCCCTGATCACCTCAAACCTTAACTTGAAAAACAGACCAGACTCTCATTCCTGGGCGGGAGTCCTGACATTCAAACAGCTTCCACGCCAAGGACCGCGGGGAGCTGTCACATGCAGTTAGCTGTGGAACACGACTTTTCCTGCCATGTCAGGGAATGACAGGAAGCACAGGCAGCCACTCACTCTGATCAGACACCTGAAACCATGTGACTCACGTACAGGACACATGAAGCCTCATCTCTGGTAATGGATTTACTTACCCAATGATAACAACTTTCTGCAGCAGTCAGAGTGAGCATTAAGGGCGGCTAAATGTAAGGGAAACATGCTATGGATTCCACACCTGAGGAGGAACAAAAGAGAGCAGCTCACGGTAACAGATCTGAAGATCCACGCAGAAGGACAATCACCTTCCTGCAAGTTCACTAATGGGAGACTCCTCGCTGAAATAATTTTGTAATTCTCTCTCCAATAAATAATTATGTAATCATTTTCCATCTTAAAATAAACAACTGAATCTAAACCAGCCCACAACCATAAGAATGTACTGTATGTATTTTAAGAAAATCTGTTTCACACCATGACTCTTAAAATTTTATTTCCTTCTTGTATTCTTCTGGCTTAAGAATCATCTGTCTCATTCACTCATTCAATTAGTCATCACTTTCAAAGCACCAGATACTACGCTGAGTGCTGGAGACAGCAGTGCTGAGCAAGACACACTACATTTGAAAAGTGGCTTGTTTCATTCCTTGATTGGATAAACATACACTTACTATTGATGTATCAAATGCCAAGCACTTTGCTGAGTTTATAATGGCTGTAGTACTGAAAATAACAATTTGGATGAAAATCAAAACTAATGTTTACCCTTCACAAGTGAAACTTTGTCTTCCTAATAGGCTTTTATGTTGCATATTAACCCACATCATAATACCAGCCACAAAAAGAGAGGAGTAATAAACATTAGTTTGCATACATTTCATAAACCTAGGCTATCAAAGGAAGAATCTAGAAAAGGACTTTTTAAACCAACTCCCACTACGACACAGTCCCCAGGATGATCCCTTAAGGGACAGGGAGGCTTCTGATGGCAGCACTTTCTGCCATTGGAATGAAATCCTCCTCCTCTCTCCTACCATCTTTCTCCAAATGAGAACCCAAAGCCCCCTGCTGACTTGTAGACCCCAACAAACAGCATCATCAGGCAGTTCCTGTGTACTTATAGGCATTTATAATTTTAGTGGTCATTTCTCATAACATTGCATATTAATCAAATAATATATTTCAGGTTTTCAAAATTCTCTACATAAACAGAAGCAAGTATGGAACTATGTCTATTTACACCCTGTATACATTTATAAGTGTAATGTTTATCATACTCAATGTTAGCTAATTACCTTATTGTTTTCACTGCTACTTATAAACCTGAGAAGATAAGAGATAAAGCTATTCTTAATTTAATATATCTAGTAGAAATTGTTTGATACATATTTTTTATTCCACAGGTACATCCTTTCTCCAATTAATGTTTCTTCTCTGGCAGAATGGCCCATTTTCAGACTCCACACTTCATAAAGAAACACATGGTTGGAACTGGTTAGGCTCTGGACACCTGAATTTTATTTGCCCCCTCAAAAGTCACTATGTGTGTGTGAAACATATACATAATTCACAGATATGTCGTGGTATTCGGTGTTTCGGAGTCTGTCAGTAATCACCCACCACTCTCTCTTTCCATGATAGCTAATTTCTATTGATTAGTGCTTTTGTTCAGTCTTTCCTCTTTTCCTTTCCCTACATGGAGATCTCCAACCCAGTGTATATAAGCGCTAGCATCCACCAAGACATGCAATTTGCCCATCTTCTGGGCAGTGTCACGCAGAGTCACGCAGTGTCACCAAAAAATTCCTGGAAAGCAATGGCATCAGTGACAACCTTGATGCTTAGGAAAAGGCAGAAGGAGTTGAGGGATGGGAGGGAAGCTTTTCTACTTATGCTGTTATTTCTATTGTTCCCTCTTAATGTGAGAGAAACATGCAGTTTTTAAAAAAAATGTATAACATGAAACCTCTTTACTAAATGGCACTTCAATCTAATGTGATTTTTACCCAAACATTTTATTTGTTTCAAGGAATTATGGCAAAAATATATGATTAAAAATTTCTAGATATTTGGAAGAGGAAAGTAAATGAATTATTTTCTAGGATGGTTTTAGGTTCCTGAAAGAATGTGCCTAGAATCAGGGACCGAATTTCTCAAGATTTCCTTGAGATTTCCCCGTTCTGAAATATAGATCTACACACACACACACTCTCACACTCACACTCATATACACACCTAAATATGTAACATGCAGTTTATGAATATACATAAATATGTGTCTTTATATAAAATAATTACAAGCAAATGAATTAGGGAAAATAGCATCAAGCTCTATAAGAAACCAATTGGAAAAAAACAAAAAATATAAGTGATAGCATAACAGTGACAGTATCGTAATATATTCTATAAACTTCACTGTCAATATTTCTAATCAGTCTTACCACTTAACACCCTATCTTTAGATAATTTATCAGACTCAACGTTAGCTAATTATTTTATTGTTTTCATTGCTACTTATAAACCTAAGAAGATAAGAGATAGAACTACTCTTAATTTATCTAGTAGAAATTCTGTTTCTTGTTTTTTGTTTTTTTTTTTTATTAAATCATAGCTGAGTACATTAATGCAGTCATGGGGTACAGTGTGCTGGTTTTGTATACAATTTGAAATATTTTCATCAAACTGGTTAACATAGCCTTCATGGTATTTTGTTAGTTATTGTGTTAAGATATTTATATTCTACATTTAGGAAGATTCACATGTACCCTTGTAAGATGAACCATAGGTGTGGTCCCACAGAAATTCTGTTTGATACATATTTTTTATTCCACAGTTAATAAAAAGTCACTACCTTTTGAAATCATATTAGAGTAGTCTTCAGTACTATTGGCATTTGAACTTGAATCTGAAACTATAGTTCAAATAGAAAAACTAAGTATCAAGTTAAGATTGGGAAAAAGAAGAAAAAAGAAAGAAAAGTAGAATTCAGCATTTTTGAATCACTTCAGAAAAGATTCATGCATTTCAAAATAAAATTACTCCTTTATTGTTATAAAATAGGAGTAATATAAAGGAAAGATTATAAAACTGTTGGGAGAAAAATTAGGCCTTGGTTGGCTTAGTCAAATAAGAAGCATTACTTTTATTTCATCAGGTATACATCAAGGAAGACCAAGAATAAAGATGCCAAATCACACTAAAGTTAACAACACATAAGTTATAGGAAAGAAGGGAACGATTCCAGTTAAATTGCTACATTTATTTGATCAGTCATTAAATTAATAGAACACATCTGTATTAGCTATTTCTAAGTTAGCTGTTAGCTGGCACATCCTACCTAGTTATTTCAGAATAAATGAGGTCTGAAGGACTGTTTTATAGAGAGCTGTCAGAGGTGAAGACAGGGGCTTTGTATCCTTAGAAAGTTGATTCTTTTAAGCTTCCCTGTTGGTACCAGGGAGCCAGAGCTGCCTTTCTTACACCTGGTATTTTCTAGAGCCTTCCCTTTAGTCCAGGGGCAAAGAACACTGAGTATGGAGATGGGGTCAGAAACTCTGGGGTTGAGTCCTAGTTTTGCCACCTGCCATTTATTTGATCTTTGGCAAGTACATAATGGTTTCCTGATCAGGAAAATAAGATATTTACAGTGTCTGTTATCATAGAGCAATTGGAAGGATTCATTGAGATAAGGTATACAAAGTACTAAAACAGAGTGTTTGACACATGAGAAGCCTTTACCATGTATCACGTTAGGATTATTATTCCCTTGCAATTATTATTAGTTTAGTGGGTAATCAGTAGTCTGTGAGTTTTGAAGTTGTAATTATGTTGTGGTTCCTTATAAATCAGGTATGTGATTCTGTAAAAGCCAAGATCAACTGACTTTGCCATTAATCTTTTTTTGTTTTTGTTTTTAGCAGTTTTTGACCAGGGCTGGGTTTGAACCTGCCACGTCCACCACATGGGGCTGGAGCCCTACCCCTTTGAGCCACCGGCACCACCCTTTGTCATTAATCTTTCTATCCTCTACGATACCTGCCTAACAACTCTTCTAAGGAAGTGAGATTGGTTTAGTTTTGCTGACTGAGTGAGGCAAAAAATATTTCCTAAATTTAGAATAGGATGATTTTATGATTCCTACCCAAATGAAAAAGTCCATTTCTTATGAAGTTTACCTATACCATTCCAAGTATTTATTATGTACCCTTAAGTTAGAGTAGTGGTTCTCAACCTTCCTAATGCCATGGCCCTTTAATACAGTTCCTGTGGGTCGTGACCCACAGGTTGAGAACCGCTGAGTTAGAGGCATTTGTGTATAACTGATAACCACGGGAAGTGGTCCTTGCTATTTTCAACCTACAGACATTTTCAGTAGATCTTTCTGAATTAAGTCCAAAGACTCTAATGTGCCCTGTAGGGCCCTTTCTGAATATGACTGTTTGCTAATCTACGTATTTTCTAGAATCGCTGGGAACTCCTTTCCATTCCTTCTAAGAGCCTGTCCTGCTCTGGGTTTTGGCTCATGCTGGCTCCTCCACCTGAAACTCTCTTCTCTTTCTCCACTGCTTCTCAGGATGCTTCACAAACTGGTCAGTGCATCCCTGAGGGTCCCTGGAAATGTCTTGGGATTTCCAGGTGTTCTCTGTGAGAACTGCTAAACAATTGGTGTGAAGGCACTGGAGGCTCCTCTGAACGATCACCTCTGCCAAATCCCAGGGCCCGTGTTTGTATTTAGGCTCACAGTGGTGCTCATGTGGCCTTGGCATGGGCCACTAAGGAAAGAATAAAAGTGGACTCAGCAGACAAACGCATTGCCTGAATCTGGGGAGGGCCGGTGATAATACAGTTCCTGGACCTTCCGTGGAGCAGAGCTTGGCAGTAGTCTGAACAAGGGCCTCTATGCTGGGGGTCAATTCCATTCCAAAGTTCCAAATTCAATTTCGTTTAAGCTGCAGCAAAACCCTCCACCCTGTAGCATATTCATGTATTGATCTTGGCAGAGTCACCACCTTAGCCACCAGAACCTTAACTCCTCACAGATTGTGATTTAACTTTGGCAAAATGTGAACTATCCCATCTTTAGTTACATAAAGAGGCAGCAAGCCCCATGCTCGGGAGCTGAGGTTCCAGACCCAGCTAGCCCCAAACTATCCCTGTGACTGTGAGGCCTCCTGTGCCTCAGTTGCTTCACCACTAAGATGGGAATAATCACGGCACTTGCCCCATGAAGCTGCTGTGACAGCTAATGTAGCGTAACCCCTCAGAGCAGTGCCTAGAACAGGACCACTTAGTGTTTGCTTTTAAATTGTGAAGTTAACATGAATGGAGTTGGTTTCTCTTTGCACGTATTTTGTAACTTTTAAATTTATTGATACATTAGTGGCAAAAGCCTAAGTAGTTTATATTTAGTCTTGTGTTTATATATATTCAAGTAACATTATAATAAAAATAAGCCTATGCTGAGGAGCTGAAAGACTCTCACTACTACATCCTGCTACTCTCAGTCTTAGCCATTGCATCTCACAGCCCTGGCCTTGCCAGATAGGGTTCCATGTCCCAGATATGCTTTCCCACACCCCAGTGGTATCCAGTGACTGCTCTGGCATCATACATAGATGGTATGATTTTAATAACTTGTTTAAATCTTGTCCCCAATGGATTATAAATTCCTTGAGGGGAGGGACCTCTGAGATCCCAGAACATGGCATAATAGGTAACACTTAGTAAGCCCTCAAAAAATATTTAATGAATGAATGAATGAATGTCAGAGCCAGTTATCTGCATAACTACAGTATCCCTAATTCTGCCACAGTTGAGGCAGAAAAAGAACTGAGAACATCGCTGAGAAGATGGAAGACAAATTAAAACCCTGGAAACAAGTGCCTCAAACTAACAAAGTTTGAGAAGAAAAACCAAAAAGGCTTTGATACCAAATAAAGTTGCATGCACAGTGGTTCAAACTGTAGGAAATGCTCTGATCGAAAGTTCAGAGAAGCAAAAAGACTAACAAAGAACATCTAACCAAGATCTTATAATAGATTAAAGCAAATTCATAAGAAGGTAAGATAAAACTTGTTCAATAGAAAATTTTTTTAAATACATTTGGCCATATTTTTTATGAATGAAGATGAGTTATTTTCAGAAATGCTATTTGTTTGTTTACTTATTTCTAGAAGGAAAGGTCTATTTTTCTCTTCTTTAGTAAACCTATCAGGAACCCAGACAACTGGGATTTTCCAAGGGGCTTTTGGCAAATTTAATCTTTTCTAATTTCTCTCCCCTTCATTTTGAGATTTTCCCCTAACGTGGGTTCCTTTCCCCCATACATACAAACGCACAAGCACGTGCGTGCACACACACACACAAAAAATCACTGCCTTAATGAACCACTGTCACTGAAGGTAGCAAGTCTTATCTCCAGGTGCGTTGTGACAAAAGAAAGCAGATGTGGCTTTTTGAGACTGGGACCAGGTTTCCCTTTTCTATGCCCAGACGCAGCCTGGCCAATGGAGGGAAGGGCTACTTGAACAACGATGACATTTCTAAGGTGCTGTTGCTATAGGATATGTGTTAGCATAAATTGTACAAAAAAATAATCACAAGGAAATAAAATTCATGCTTATTAAATAGATTTGGGAGGAAATTTTAAGTAAGTACTGGGTCCAGTTTATTTATATCCCTAAAACGGATTCCAGTTAGGGAAAAAATCAGAAAATCATGATAGTTTGGCTAAAATTCCCCAAGACTTGAAAGAAAGATGCCACTGAAAACATTAACTCATCACAGTAAAGCGGGTTTGTGCCTAGTGGTGTTACTTATGCTCAATTAACACTGAGCATGTACAAGTTCTCTTTGGGCGACCAGGATCTGGTTGGGAACTCCAGAACCTGGTAAGAGCCTCCTGAATCCTAGTGTGCAGCATTTCCCACCAAACTGAGCTGCTTCTTTTAAGTTACAACATCCCAGTCAAACAGTTCCTTTGGCTTAAAGCAGATGCCTTTCCCTTCTGAAAAGAGACACCCCACTGCTAATTCTCTTCCATGCCCACCCTCCGCCTCATCCTTCCTCCAAGACCTCATCTTTTCTCCCCCGTATGTTTGCAAGAGGCTGGCAAGCATGTTTCTTGTCTGGACTGCCCTGATATGTCTGGACTGACTCCAATATGTCTGGACGGCTATCAGAGCGATCTTTCTTACACACAAATGGGATCATTAGGCACGACCTACTCTACACCCACTGAGAGTGCTGTAATAGCTTCCGAATGCCTCACACTGGAATCCAGTTCCTTAGCAGGATTTGCAAGGTCCTTGGAGATGTGCCTCTTCCTGCCTTTCCACCCCATTTCTTCCCCCACCCTGACCCCGATACCTGAGATGACCCAGCTTTAGAAATCTGCTTTCAACACGTTCACGTTTGTGTTTTCATAAAGACAATTCTCTTTTCGTGGGATGTCCTTTATAGAAATGGTTCCTTTTTCTTAGAATGTCCTTCCCTGCTTCCCCTTCTCTTTCTTCCTCACAATTCTTCCCTCCTGGCAAACTCCTTTGCAAGCTTCATTTTGCTAAAATGTCATCCCTGTTCCCACAGCCTGGTCTAAACCTCCTTTGCAACAAACCTCCCAACTTTGTAGTCCTTTGCTCTTGTTCTTATCTCAACCACTAAACTGGGAGTGCAGGAAGTCCCCAGAACCCAGGACAACTTAATGTTGAACTCATGATAGTAAACCATCACATACGACCAATCTACCAGAGCGTGCCATATAATTCACGTCAAGCCCAGAACAGCCGGCCCTCTGGGCATGTGCTCTCATGATGCCAGTATGACTTCCCTGGACAGTTTAAGTTTTGTCTCATTCTCAAGCAAGATTTTCATTTCTGTTGTGCAACATTTGACAAACAGAAGAGAATTCCTAATATACACTGCCCTCCTACTGTTCTTCTCTTAAAAATTCAGTTATTATTACCCCTCAGTCTTTGTCACTAAGGCCAAATTCTTTATTCAGGCATTTAAGGCCTTATTGCCTACCTATTAGTAAGTAATACAATGATAGTTAACATGTAGTGATAGCTTACCAGGTGCCAGCCATTGTTCAAAGAGCTTTTAACATGAATTATCTTTGTAATAACCTTAGCAGATGTAAGTGTTTTATAACTCATACACATCTTACCATATATTGGAGACCTTTAAGAGTAATTAAGACACTGAATCCTTATAACAAACCTATACATAGATACTATTATTACTCCCATTTTTCAAGTGTGGAAACCAAAGCAAAGAGGGATTAAGCAACAGGCTCAAAGTCACCCAGCTCACAAGCAAGACAGCTTGGACTGGAGTTTGGGAAGTGCCCCCTGAAAGCTGGCTCCCAACCATCACAGAACGCTGCTCCCGGGAAGCCCACAGCACCTTCACATATACACCTGCTGCTCCCAGGCAGCCCACAGCACCCTCGCATGTATACCCGCTGCTCCAAGGCAGCCCAAAGCACCTTCACATATATACCCGCTGCTCCCGGGCGGCCCACAGCACCCTCACACTTACACCCGCTGCTCCCGGGAGGCCCGCAGCACCCTCACACATACACCCGCTGCTCCCGGGAGGCCCGCAGCACCCTCACACGTACACCTGCTGCTCCTGGGAGGCCCACAGCACCTTCACACATACACCTGCTGCTCCTGGGCGGCCCACAGCACCCTCACACGTACATCTGCTGCTCCCGGGCGGCCCATAGCACCCTCACACTTACACCCGCTGCTCCCGGGAGGCCCGCAGCACCCTCACACATACACCCGCTGCTCCTGGGCGGCCCACAGCACCCTCACACGTACATCTGCTGCTCCCGGGCGGCCCATAGCACCCTCACACATACACCTGCTGCTCCTGGGAGGCCCACAGCACCTTCACACATACACCTGCTGCTCCTGGGCGGCCCATAGCACCCTCACACGTACATCTGCTGCTCCCAGGCGGCCCATAGCACCCTCACACATACACCTGCTGCTCCCAGGCAGCCCACAGCACCCTCACACATACACCTGCTGCTCCCGGGCGGCCCATAGCACCCTCACACATACACCTGCTGCTCCCGGGCAGCCCACAGCACCCTCACACATACACCCGCTGCTCCCGGTGGCCCGCAGCACCCTCACACATATATACCCTCCACTCTGTCAGGCCTAGCTCTTCCCCCACGTGCAGTCTTTGCCTCTTCTTTTCCTGCTTTCTTCCCTGGTTGAGATGGCTACCACCAACCTCTGTTCTACACAAACAATTTTTACCCTCTAAAGCCTAACCTACAACTTCTTCTTTCCTTGAAGCCTTTTCAGAAAACCTTTGGCCACCTTGGAGCTCTCTCTCACCTGTCTATGATATATGGCATGTACTGTGCACACCAAACACGTTGCCACTTAAGTCCTGTTTCATTTAGAACTTTATCTTTCGTGGTTCTTTGTCCTAAGTGGGCCTTGGGCCCCCAACAAAATTTTGAGCTCTTTGAAGATACCAAGATACTTATTTTGAAGCCCCCTTGGCACCAAGCCTTGTGACAGGCTCAAGTAGGTGCTTTACACATTTTTGTTGACTGAAGTGTTAAATGAAGCCAGTTTCCCCACCCTGTGTAGCAGCTTCACTCAATCATGCCCTGTACAACCATATCGTTAAAGCTGAGCTGGCACTCTCAATCAGTTCTGAATTTGCCCAATTATGTTTTATTTTTCCTGTTTAACAAACGGTATGCTTTGGAAAGAACAGAAAAATATTAGCTGAGTCAGGAATCAACTTCAAGTTTCCTTAATTAAAACCACCAGAATGGGCCACATTTGGATATAGCTAAAAAATAAAATCAGTTGTTCTTTGCATTTATCATTAAAAGCCACTTAATGTATTTCAAATTTAATTTGAATTTGGTGTAATGGAACAGGTCTACCCTAACCTGGATAAATGGGAACTGTCTACTGCGTGGCAGAATCCCGTTAGCAGTATTCCCACATGTAGCAATTATTCTGTCATATTTTTGCAGTCACCTACTTGGCTGTGTCAGCTCCGCTGGTTATTAAGGTGTTAATCAAAAGCTCGTGACCGTATCTTGCAGCCACATGAAGAGGAGTGTTGCCATCTTTATCCACACAGTCAATTTCACCTCCTGAAAGAGACATTTTAATAAAAATAACACAAAGATTCAGCTTGATTCAGATACTACATTCTCTGTTAATCCCTCACGTAGACCAAATGTTGACTTCTTTTCTACTCCAGTGTGCACCTCTGTTCTTTAGGGGGATACAGCACCAACTGAAACGGCAGTAGTATTATATCTGCACGGGGAGAATTGCTGACAGCAATGCTTTCGAAAGACCTCTCTATACTGTCCTCTTTAGGGTTCTAAAATCTTACAACTAGATTCTGAATGAACAAGGTAATCAAATCTCATAAAATATCATTCTGAAGACATATTCAGTTTTAGTTTTACCTGTTGAATTAAAGACCTATGTGAACCTCATGCAAAAGCTCAAGAACCAAAGGGGATGGAGTTCAGGAAAAAATTTTACATAGGTTGATTAGCTCAAAATGTGATGAGAAAAATGGTAAAAGCATAAACTGTAAACTGAAAATGCCTCTGTTTATAAAAACTATGAGATTAATCAACTATGGTCATTTTAATAATATAGTACTTTCATCCTGTTTCATTTTGTATTCTTTCCCCCCAACTTTTTATTTTACTACATTTCTTTCTTTCATTCTTTCCATATGTGTGTGCTGGTAGATATAGTCGATCTATTTGTTCGTTTATCTGAGGAACCCTTTAAAGATAACATCATGATGTTTCACCCCATGCACATTTCTTCTAAGAACACAGCCATTCTTTTTTTTTTTGGAGACAGTCTCACTATGTTGCCCTCTGTAGAGTGCTGTGGCGTCACAGTTCACAGCAACCACAAACTCTTAAGCGATTCTCTTGCTTTAGCCTCCCAAGTAGCTGGGACTACAGGCACCCACCACAATGCCCAGCTATTTTTTTTGCTGTAGTTGTCTTTGTGGTTTGGCAGGCCCAGGCTGGCTTTGAACCTGCCAGCTCTAGTGTATGTGGCTGGCGCCCTAGCCGCTGAGCTACAGGTGCCCAGCCAGAACACAGCCATGCTCAGCCACGACCACAATTCCATCATCACATCCAAGAAATTTAACATTGATAAAATAATTTGATTTAATATTAGTACATCTTCCTCCAAAATTAGTACAATTGTCTCCAAAATGTGCTTTAGTTTGTTGTTTTTGTTTTAATCCAGGCTCTAATCAAAGATTCTGATAGCAATTAGTTTTCATGTCTCTTTAGTATAACATAATTCTCTTGGCTTTTATTTACTTATTTATTTTTTTAAAGTTTCTCATGTCATTGATATTTTTAGAGGTCAAGCCAGGAGCCATGTGGGCCATTGTGCCTCCTTGAGTTGTCTGATGAGTTATTAGATTTGAGCTAAACATTTTCATTAACATCTTCATTATTAGATTTAATAAACATCTCCATTATTCTCAGATTTAATAAACATCTTCATTATTAGATTTGAGCTAAACATTTCAACAAGAATGCCCAGCGCTGATACACATGTCCCACTGCATCTCCTCAGCACACACATAGTTGTTCCATTACTGGGACGTGCAAAATTTGATTGCTTGCAATGGTACAAAATTTCAGTTTGAGAACAGAAAAAGTTCTAGAAATGGATGGTGGTGATGGTTATGTAATAATGCAAATTTACTGAATGTCACCTAACTATAAACTTAAAATGGTTAAAATGGGAAATTTTATGTTATGTTTATGTATATTTACCACAATTAAAAAAAAAGTTTGATTATTTGATTGAGGTGGTACCTGCCAGAACATTCTAGTCCAAAATTTCCTCTTGGCAATTAACAAGCAATCTGTGGGATGATACTTTGAGACTGTGTGGATATCCTGTTTCTCAGCAAAGTTTCTCACAATGATTTTAGCACATACAAGGAGTACTTTGCTCAGAAGTTACCTGGATTCTTTATTCTGTATGCATATATATATATATATTTTTTTTATTAAATCATAGCTGTGTACATTAATGCAGTCATGGGGTACAGTGTGCTGGTTCTATATATAATCTGAAATATTTTCATCAAACTGGTTAACATAGCCTCCATGGCATTTTCTTAGTTCTGTATGTTTATATCATCAATTTGATATACAAACAGGTTCATTTGATTCTGTTTGTTAAAACTTTACTGAATTTTCATCTTTTTATTATATCAATATATAAAACATGGACATGTTTCAAAAGTCAAAATTATATATTTTAAAAGCTTCCTCCTCATTCTTATCCCTTCAATTTCTTCCTCACACACATCCTATGGTAATCATTTTAATTTGTTTTAGATTATGCTTCTTGTGTTTCTTTTTGCAAAATACTTTCTATTTTCATATAACAATATACCCTGGAACCCACTCTTAAAGATCACAACTTGAAGATCTCCCTCATTTTTGTAGAGCTTTATTGGTTTTTATCTCATGGATGTACTAGTTTAGTACACGCCTCTCCTATGAATGAGCATTCAGATTATAAATAACATTGTGCTGTCATCAGGAACACTGCAGTGCGATCTCACGCACATGTTGTTTCATATTTGTCATGTGTCTTCGGGGTAAATTCTTCCTAGGAATTCCTAGAAGGAAGATTTCTAGGTCAAAGGACAAATCAATAAATATGTGGTTTTGTTAGATTTTGCCAAATTGACCTCTTTAGTGCCTGCTATGGTTTGGATATGGTTCATTTGACACCCCCTCCCCAAGTCTCATATTGAAATATGAGTGTTGGAGGAGGGGCCTGGTGGGAGGTATCAGGATTGCAGGGACGGATTATTCACAAATGGCTTGGTATCATTTTCACTCTTAGTTCCCAGGAGAGCTGGTTGTTCCAAGAGGCCAGCACCTCTCTCCCTCTCTCTCTCTCTCTCTCTCTCTCCCTTCCTTTCTTGCCATGTGATCTGCACACACAGGCTCTCCTTCACCTTCTGCCATGAGTGGAAATAGCCTGAGTCCCTCCCCAGAAGAGGATGCTGGTGCCATGCTTCTAGCACAAATCCAGAACCATGAACCAACCTCTTTTCTCTATCAATTACCCAGCCTCAGGTATTCCTTAGCAATGCAAACAGACAAAGACAGTGCCTCTGTAGACACTGTTCAATTCGCGCCAACCAGCACCTCACAAGAGTGACTGATAGTCTTGTCAAGTTTTTGAGTATCTGTCATAATGGGTGAGCCAGTTATCTTACTGCCCTACAGTTTTTCACATGCTTCTCTTATTAGGAAGGAACTTAAACATCTCTTCAATATCTCTTAAACATCTCTTCAAATATACCAGAACCATTTATATGTCTTTGTCTCTGAATTATTTTTCATGACTTTGCCCATTTTTCTTAAACCTGTGTGTGTGTGTGTGTGTGATCTTTTATTCCTTGATTTTTAATAGCTCTTAAAATGTTGGGAAACTACACATTTATTAGCAAGATATGTTATAAGTATTTTTCTCCCAGGTTTTTTATTGTCTTTTGATTTTATGTATGGTGTTTTATCTTTCAAAAATTTTTTTTAAATTTACCAACCTTTTTGTTGTCTTTGGATTGTGAGTTATAGTCAGAAAGGCTTTCCCTATCCATGGCACCAAAGACATTGACATGTTTTCTATACTGAAAAGGTTTCATTTTTTAGACTTGGACATCTGATCCATTTGGAGTTTATTTTGGTTAAGGTATGTTAGTTGACTGACTAAATCAATATTGCCTGAATGTCTAAAAGAATCAAAATTCAAGAAAAGGGCCTGAACACATTCATAGATACAGAGAGGTGATTAGTGGTTTCCAGGGGCTGGAGGACAGAGGAAGTAGTCCTTGGGTAGTGACAGCTAATGAGTATAAAGTTTCTCTTGGGGTGATGAAAATGTTCTAGAATTAGGTAGTGGTGATGGCTATACAACCTTGAAAATACTAAAATCCACTGAATTGAAAATGGTGACTTCTCTACTATATGAATTATATCTCAATTATTATTTAAAAAGGGGCCTAAACCAAATGACAGGAAAAGGTTAAGGAAGTAGAGAATAGGTGAGCACCCCAGAGAAATAAACAGGCACTGGGTGTGCCTGTGAACATATAAGGTCATGTATACTTCTGCTCCAGCAAGAGAAAACACCTGGACACTGGGGCACAGAATGCAAGTGAGTCCAAGGTTTTCTTTCCTGGCAATCCTATTCAGAAATAAATCTCTGCATCGCAATGGAAAACTGCAGGTAAATGAATTATCAAATCATGCTCTTAGATACCAGGTATTTTAGAGCGACCTCATTAGAAAATTATGTTTCACAAAATGCTCTACAAATTTACCTTAAATTTTCACCTTATTCTCATTATCATTTACACTAACCTAAAGTAAGCTATAATTAAACTAAAATACACCATTGCAAGATATACTAATGCTATAATGATCAGTGTGTATGTCTAAACTGTACACACATCTATGTGTGCCAGAATAAGAAATACCAAATCTTGGCTTGGCACCTGCAGCTCAGAGAATAGGGCACTGGCCACATACACTGAAGCTGGTGGGTTCGAGCCAGGCCTGGGCCTGCTAAACAACAATGACAACTACAACCAAAAAATAGTCAAGTGTTGTGGTGGGTGCCTGTAGTCCCAGTTACTTGGGAGGCTGAGACAAGAGAATCGCTTAAGCCCAAGAGTTTGAGGTTAAGGTGAGCTGATGCCACAACAATCTACTGAGGGCAACATAGTGAGACTCTATCCCAAAAAATAAAAAAGAGAAGAAATACTAAATGCTAAAAAATGTAAAGATTACACGAATGGCTTTGATAAATCTAGTAAGATATGATAAATTTGCTTTGAATAATTTATTTTTGATTAAGAAAATAATTTTCAAATTGAAGAAAATTTAGAAGATACAGTCAAATATAAACAAGAAAATACAAGTTATTTATAAATTCACTGATTACACAAGACAGTCAGTATTAACATTCTGGAATATTTCCTTCCTGTTGTGTGTATGTGTACACGTGTGCATTTTCCCAGAATTTTCCCACAACTGAGATCATAGTGTAGAAAGAGTTCTGTATC